GAGTTGCGATTGCTTTCATCGTATTTTAATAGCTCTTAGTTAATCATTGATATCAAACGCGTTCTAGTACCCAGTTTTTCACACTCGCCAGTGCTTGAGGTAATTTGTGTGGATCGGTACCCCCCGCTTGCGCCATATCGGCTCGACCACCACCTTTCCCCCCCACTTGCAAAGCGACAAAATTGGCCAGTTCTCCTGCTTTAACTTTATCCGTTAAGTTATGGGTCACGCCCGTCACCAAATTAACTTTATCGCCTTCAATAGAAGCCAAGACAATTGCAGCAGTACCAAGTTTATCTTTGAGTTGATCTAAAGTCGTCCGTAAATAGGCAATATCTGCATTACCAATAACCGTTGCCAATACTTTTACCCCATTCCCTACCTCTTCTGCGGAGTTAGCCATACCACCTGACTGGCTATGCGCCAATTGTTGTTTAACTTGTGCCAACTCTTTTTCAAATTGCTTATTTTGCTCTATCAGCTGTGAAACTCGATCTGTCACCTCATTCGGGTTGGCTTTTACAGTTGCAGCAATTTCATGTACTTGGTTCTCAATTTTCTGAATTTGCATTAGAGCTGCTGTTGCCGTCACCGCTTCAATTCGTCTGACGCCAGCGGCAACGCCACCTTCACTCATGATTTTAAATAGCCCGATATCACCACTTCTTCCCACGTGTGTTCCGCCGCACAATTCACGGGAAGAGCCAATATCTAACACCCGAACCATATCACCATACTTTTCGCCAAACAACATCACTGCTCCCGTTTTCTGGGCATCTTCAATGGATAATTCACGACTTTGGGTCTCTACATTCGCTAAAATCTCAGCATTGACGTAATTCTCAATACGGCGCATTTCTTCGCTACTGACTGGTGCATCATGGGTAAAATCAAAACGCGTCCGTAAATCGTCCACGTGCGAACCTTTTTGTTGTACATGATCTCCAAGCACATCTCGCAAGGCTTTATGAAGCAAATGTGTGGCGGAGTGGTTTCGCATCACTTTTTTGCGCCGCGCCAAATCAATTTTGGCACACACTTCGTCACCAATATTCAGTGTCCCAGCCACCAAGGTTCCCGTATGAGCGATCACATCCGCCCTTAATTTTTGCGCGTCTTCAACTTTAAATAACATCGGACTCAACGTATTGGACTCGGTTAAAACCCCTTGGTCGCCAACTTGACCACCACTTTCCCCATAAAACGGAGTTTTTTCAAGAATGACGGTGCCTTTTTGCCCTTCATTTAGAGTTGTCACGGCTTCCGTACCACAAAATAACGCCACCACACGCGTTTGATCAGATTGTGTTTGGTTATACCCCACAAAAGTGGTTGGCTCACCATCAAACTCAATGCCGGCGCCAGCTTTAAACTTACCACTTGCTCTGGCTTGGTCGCGCTGTTTATCCATTTCTGCATTAAACCCCGCTTCGTCAACGGTCAGGCCATTCTCGCGACAGACATCTTGTGTCAAATCTAAAGGGAAACCAAAGGTATCATGCAACTTAAAAGCCAAAGCACCATTCAGCACTGTTTGATGATTGGCTTTTAAGGTATCGATTTCATGATCCAAAATGCGCATACCATGTTCGATCGTTTCAAAAAAACGTTTTTCCTCACCCTCAATGATATGCATCACTCGAGTTTGCGCCTTTTCAAGTTCCAGATAGGCTCGCCCCATCTCTTCAA